AATTTTCGTGAATTAAAAAAACGTTTTAGAAGGTGTAACATCGTATTACACGTTCTACTCTTCTTTATCAAGGCATAGGTCACTTGCACGTGTCTTATATGTTATGGATGTAAAAGGCTATAATTCATCATTTATTTTGTCAATTAAGAGGATAAAATTTGTTTCATATAGGTTGAAAGAAAAAGTCGATACATATTTTTAAGTGCTCATAAATTTCACTAAGATACTCCTTTGAGAAATTCTTTAATATAGGCCATTTTGACGGGTTCAGTTCGGAACCCCGTAAATTTAACAATTTGTGCTCGCATAAATTCCAAGTGAACTGTGTCTATATGCTCATATAGAAGGTTTACATTGCGCGTAACACAACAATAAATCTATGAATGTGGTACAATAAATCTGAAGTATTCGTTTCAAATATTTTTATTCATCCACACAGCAACAACAAAAATTGTTCTTTTCACACAAAAATCAGTAATGAATTGAAATTTAATTTAATTGACCTAAATGTAAACCTGGACATAAAAAAATAGCATTCAAATTTTATAACATTGTTCATAAACATTACGATGTGAACAAGTATTGTGTTCCTTAATAATTTCTTATGTTGTTTGAAATCAGAAATAAAGCCGATACACAGCAATGCACATCTCTAATGTTAGATTTTGTTAAAATCAAGTAAAAACATAATTTGTTGTCTTTTAAAATAGTACATAGTGTTTGCACACGTCATACTCTTTAAAATATCATGAGCGTTAGGATGAATTGGCAATTTCATGAAAAATGAAAAAACATTAATGTCATATGAATAAAAATTCCATAAAATTTTAACTCGACAGATAATGGTACACACGAAAAAAAACACTCCGCTGAAGGCTATTCTATGGAACAATATTTAGACAAATCTTTTCTTTTTAGTAAAGCCTTAATTATTTATAAATGCATTAAAAAATATGGAAGCTTTTAATTTGAAATATTTTATTAATACATAACCTACACAAAGAGCCTTATAATTCTATGGATCAATTGCACAGAATTGTCCATGTCATGATGAAAACATTTAACATTTTTTTTAACTTCAATGAGACCTAATATTTTTGTCTTACAACCTACTAGCGCCTATTGTTAAAAAAAAAATAAGATACATGCTGTTTTTACTTAAAGTACTGTGTTTTCTTGTAGATTCATATATTACTGTTATTAACAGTTCTTAGGCTTCGTGGGGGAAATTATTTATTTGTCCAATTTCTAATTCACAGATTAGTGTTATTTCATATTAATAACAGCTATCCCATCCTACTTAAGGTATATCTGTAATTAATGTAAAATGAAATGTTTTTTATATCATTCATTTTTTATTGCCTTTTAATGAATATGGATGCAGTGATGAAGTTGTGTGATGGAACGGTTTTCATACATAGTATTTCTGTATACCACACATCTATGCTATTCCTTATCCAACATATATAAATGGCAAAACATATAAACATATTCTGTCAGTGAAACGTGTGAGGTTTAAATGGCACATTAGCCGTGTTCCTTGTTTCATAATGTCTAATGTCTTTTTATAACATTTTTATTAAAATGAAATATGTCTCATTGCATTTTTTCTAAATTATGCAAAATATATTGTTCTAAATGTATTTCATGCGACCATTTTTGAAGCCTTTACCATTCACTTATTAATAAACTCACTGTACAGGAGGATACCCGTTAGCAATAATAGTAACTTAGGAACAGAAAGGTTACAAGTTACAGGTACGTGTGGGACATTGACTAGGCCTAAAAAAGTCTTGTCTCAGAGTACATGTTATTTCGCATGTTGTAATATATTTATAGGTGGTTTAACTGTTTTCATGCCATTCTGTTATACATATACATACGTACATACATTTAGACAAGTAATGACAGGAACGTATCATCATTTTACATTTTTGTAATTTTTTACACTTTGAGATATGAGAAATTTAAAAATAAAAAGTACATCAACTGCTAATAATGTACCCTTTGTGATATTTGTTTTTATGTTACATTTTTGAAGGAAATGAATTATACGCTATTCTATTTAACAGCGGTTTAATGTGGACTGTTTTTACTTGGGACGTCGAAGTCTGTATTACCCAATTGGGAGGCAAATGTCCTCTCCTGAGTAGTGAGCTTTACAAATTTATTCTTTTTTTTAGTTTCATTCGGAGTATTTCACAGTGAATAGTGAAAAAGTTGAGCTGCTTCATAAAATTGTGTAAAAAAAAGAAATGTCAATTGTGCTAAATTCGTGAAGCGTAAAACTTTTCCCTTTAATATTAAAAGGGAAATCTTATTACAGATTCAACCCCATAATAGAAATTTCTTAAAAAAAAAATCAGCAATGAAGTGGTTCTTTCCCCTTTTTTTTTTTTATTGAGCTACCCTAAATGATGGTCTTCCTGGGAGGAACGAATAATACACGTTTTCTTTTTTGTGATTGAACGAAACGAATTCGACATATTTTTTAAGACATGCAGTCCATGGGGGAACATAACCTCTTTGTGCGAAGTAATTTAAATGCATTATCCCCAATTACATAAAAAAGGTAAATATATAGAAGTAGACTGGGGAAAGGTTAGCGAAAAAGAGAATATGATACATATTCAGAGAAGAAAAATGCGGTGTACACGAAAGGGTTAACAATTAATGTTCTAATTCATTGTAAACTATGCAAAATGAGGTGTTTCACCATTCCGATAAAGCAGTCCATGCGCTGGAAGAAGAATTATTTTTAAAATAAAAATGACCACTTGGTTAAATGTGCTGCCCAATTGCACTGTGCAATGCATGTAGATACTATTAAAGATGTCGCAAGAGAACACTTAGGATAAGCAATTATAAAAAAAACTGTACCTTACAATTACCTGTATCGCTACATTCCTGCAAATAATGACATAGCAGTTATGCAACTATTTCATAATCGGAACGGTAACACCTGAGCAGTGGATACAAATGTGACAGAAGGAAATAGCCACGACTGTTTGCTTGAAATAGTTATGAGCATAAAAAAATGTGTAAAATTCCGCATAGAAGAGGTACCTCATTTTTGTCGACATAATACCTTTTCCGTAAGTATACAACTGCTCGCAGTATTATAACAAAGAAAGTAATGAACTGTCTAGCGAAGAAATGTTCATTTGAATGAAAATGTCTTTACGACAGAATACATAAAAAATACAGGGAGAAATTTTTTTTGACGTCAGGTTATTGAATCATTAGTATAATAATAGGTCTAAAGTTAAAATAACTGTTCAGGCAGTTAATGCGTAAAGGTTTATTCTATGTAGAAAAGAAAAAAACATAAAAGGATGTCTTTCTCAAAAATTTCATCAAGCTTGATGTTCTTCTTTATTTCTAAGATGCTAAATTGAAGTTAATCAGTTTCTGTGATTTGTTAACAGGGAAAGGGTCTTATAGTGCTTTGCAACCATACCACACAAATATTGAGCAATAATTTTATTTTACCTTCACGCTTCGTATAAGCGTAATGCATAAATGTACATATATATATATGGTATAATTTAATGGTAACTAAGATTTAACGTATTTTTTTAGACGTGTTTCCTTTTGATGGCAATTTTATTTTCAACCATTTGCGCAGACCATTTGGGAGTTTCTTTTTTTTTTCAAAAATGATGAAAAAAGCACGAAAAGTAGAAAAAACTCTGCTATATATACGTGTAGCATATTAAAATGCAGTTTAAAAGAAAAGAAAAAATATAAGAGGTAAGAATAAATTATAAATGCGATTTGTTCAATATTTAAAAAGATGTATGAGAAATTTTTTCCTTTTCCCCGCGTCATAAAATATTTTTTTCAGCAGAATATTTTAAACAACATACTTGCAGCATTAAAAAATACGCCCCCTCCAAAAGAAAGTCCTTTTTGGGGAGTCGCAACCCAAAGGGCTTATAAACGATTCCCATTCTCCTTTTTTTATGCCTTTGAGAAAGCTACAAAAATAAATGCAGTATGCCATGCATATGGCATTTGCGTTATAAATCATGCTTGCTTATGTGGCGATAAATTAAAAAATATGTTCAAACGTGCTTGAATGAAGAAAATACCATTCATATATTTATATGTATTACATCTTTATTACATATAAATTGTCGCGAAAAAAATAAAGCCGAAAAGAAATATTTTTATAAAAAAAAAACGCCCGCAAAAAAATTTCCCAAATGAACTGCAGAATGCAAAACGAAAGAATTTTTTTTTTCACTATATACCATTTGTATATATATATGACAAGTACAACCCCAAATTAAACGAATTAAAGCAAATAATTAAAAAATAAAGAATCAAAACAAAAGGCCAAGGAAGCGCAATAAATTGAAAAAAAGGCCCAAACTATAATTTTTCGTTTTCTGAAGTATAAGAATTTCTTTAAACAAAAAAACTTACAAGATGATGAAAAATTAAAGTTAACGCAGATTGTATTAAATACATGGATGAACAATTGGGGGAATAAATTGGTGAATAAATGAATATAAATAAATATATTACATTGCTTTCACATTTTTCTCCTTGCGCGAAATTAAAAAAAAAACTACAAATATGTTTGCCCAGAGACTATAAAAAATATATACATATTTTTACTCCCATTTTTAAAAGTCCTTTCTATTATCGTGAGCTTAAATTTTGTTGTTAGCTTAAGCCATTCTTATTATTTTGCGTAAAAACATATTGCATAGTTTGTGTATTGAGCTACAATGCGCTGTATGTATTAACTTACGTGCTGCTGCCTACTGCCGTGCACACCCATGTAAAGGAAAACTTTTGTGTTGTTTTATCGTGCCCCATATTTTTTCCACCTCGCCCTCCACATTTTATTCGCTCGTTATTCCTTATGCGTGTAAGGCGCATGCATAAGTAATTTACCTATACGCAAACGGAAATTGCCGTGAAGTATATACTTTATACACATAGCGGCCACTTATATAAAATCATTTACCCCAAGAAACTATAATAAAATGAAGAGCGGACAAAATGAAAAAATAATGGACTATTTGTCGTGCACCCTAGACGATGTAGTTGACAAAGAGAAAAAAAGTGGAAAAAATAGTATTTTAAATTTAAATAATTCCAAAAAATATGATTATAAATCAAAGTTTTTTAGTAAAAAAGACCTAACGCAAAGTAGCTCAGGTTATCGAGGCAGAGGAGGAGGGGGTGAAAGGTCAAAATTTACGAGCAGTAGAAGACCAGGAAGTTTTAAGAAGCCATTCTTTAGCAAAAGATTAATTGATAAAAAATATAACAATTTCAGAAGTAAAAAAATTTACTCAGGCCCAAGCAGAGATTATTTTAAAAGTAGACCAAGCGCTCATAATTCCCGCTACGCTTATGAAAGTCATAATATTCCCTATAATAACAAAAATTTCGTCAATAAGAAAAATTTGATTAATAGTGTTAAATCTTCTGGAACTACATACGTGGGTAGTAGTAGTGTAGCAAAAAGCAAACCAAGAAAAATATTTAAGCCAATTCCATCATCGAGGACAACTGTAATTACTAGCAGTGCAAATAGCTATAAAACTGTACAAGTTCCAAGCCAGAAATTAAGCAACTTAAATATATCCCTTTTTCGTAATAAGAGAACCGTTGCTCTGAGGACTAATCGACCTACCACCAATCTCTCGGTAAAAAGAAGTAACGTCAGCACGGTTAACAAAAGTAAAGTGGTTAGAAAAGCAATACAGAAGACCACCATAAAAGCGAAGACCAGAAAAAGTGTCAACGGATCTAAGTTTAAACCGTTAAATAAATACTTTTTGTCAAAAATTAAAATTGTTACGTCGTTAAATAAAATCCCATCCCCGCTGAAGGAGCAGAAGGACACGGAAGTTAATCTCCCGGAGTCTTTGAATAATCCCAGCGCCAGAAAGGATTAAAGTTATCCCACGTATTCTTGTGCTACGACAAAGCGCAACAATGGGAGGGGTATAAGCGCAGGAAGTTGAAGCTAAAGGAGAGGAGGAAGACAAAGCTAGACACATTTCAATTGACGAATTTTTAGCCGATAAATAAGTCTATATCATTTTACACTGTTATGATGAGTACAATATGCTGTTTGTGTTTTTTTTGTTTTTGTGAATCGTAAAAGATAAATGTAAAGAAGGCAAACCGTAGGCCCAAAAAAAAATGCGATGTAAAAAAATAAAAAAAGAAGTTAACCAGATGGTGAAAAAGTCGTGTAAAAAAATGTGCAAAAGGTGGTGAAAAAATGTCACATGTAAAAGTATGGTTAAATGCTGTGAAAAAATATAATTTTTAACTAAGCATGCATACCACATACACGTACACGCATGAGCACGCGCCCTCACCTTGCTTTACTGGCATATATGTCATGTTAAAAAAAAAACGACGAACAAACAAAGTACCTGTGGCATTTTTAATGTTCCCGTTACCATATATAATAACATCATCATATTTCTGTATATACATAAGCCCATTTAGAGAACTTTAATCAAACAAATTCCCCTAAGAAAGGTTTCATATATGTAAATGACGAAAGAGCAATTTTTGTTTAGGGTTAACATTAAATGGTTTTTTCCCCCCTAAAGTGTAAATTAAAAATAGGTATCTTTTTTTAGTAATTTTTTAAGCCTTTTTAATTGCAGTGTGGTGGAAAAAAAAAGGGGGGGCAAAGGAAGAGATAGGAAAAGAACGCATACATTAAGTTACATATTTGAACATGTGATTGCGTGCTGTAAGGGACCGTTTGAACGTTACCAGGTTGAGAGAACGAACGAGGGATACCAAATAGAATATTCTTACAATATAAAGAAATGCCTTTTACCGTTGAGGAGATGAGCAATTCCCGCATACTGTGCATGCCCCGGATAACGCTTACGATGTGGTACAAGTGGAAGGACGAAAAAAGATAGAAGAAGCCCTTTACGTTGTGATATTTTGTAGCCGTATTCTATCGTCCAAATATTACCATTGACATTTACGTTTTTTTCCCAAAGGTAAATTGTGGAATAACGCAGGGGCTAACGGGAGCATGCAGAAGCCTTTTTTTTTTTTTTTTTTAACAAAATTTCGTCCATTTGTATTGCTCACAGCGAACCACACTAACGTTGCAAACACGTCTGTGTGTTAAGGGAGAGAATCGTGTCTCACCGCTTTACAGAAGTAGCAGTAGAAATGGTGGAATTTTTAAAAAAGTTACATATGGAAGAAAAAAAAAAACAGAGGAAAACGCGTATTATATCCAATTCTTAATCAATTTCAAAGTACTACACTCAGGGGGGAGAAGGGACTAAACGAGGGGCCATTTTATAGCGAACATGAGCTATGGAACAAAAAAGTTACCTGGGCTAAAGGCGAAATGTACACATAAATATATATGAATACAGTTCTCCCACGCCCCAGCGTTTCAGGGAATCATTTTTCGTCGTAGGCGTAGGAACATCAAGTGGTAGTGCTCCGGACAAAAGGAATAGAAAATAAAGGAGTTTTATTTTTTACAATTCTTTGCAGATTCATGAGATGTGTTATCTATAATTTTTATAGCATATCAGATTTTTAAATCATGTTTCCGCTTTTCGGAGATGTCACATTTGAAGATGCCTATTTTCTTAACAAAAAAAAAAATCAGTCAATTCGACTGTTTGAGCGTGTTTAAAAAAGTGCCAAACAGGGATACGCATAAAAACACGCATACATATATATATTTTTTCATGTGTGTGTATACTTGTGTTAGATTATTCTATTTTTTCAGAAATGCTCCTTTGCAGCATTTATATCGATTTTCAGTACACCATTTAACGTTTCCAGTTAGGTAATAATTTAACGTGGCCACCTTATTTCCTCCACAAAGGTGAAATGAGTTTATTTTACGACGAAATGAAGAAGGCAATTGTCGCTGATTTGAATTATTTTTCTCCATTGGAAAAAAAAAAAAAAGAAAAAAGGAGAAAAAAGGAAAAAAATTCCATCGTAATTTTTTTTTTGTCATATTTTACAAGTGGAAATAACGTTTTAAAACACACCTGCGCATTTGTTTGGCGTGATTTAATTCTCCGCTTTATTTTTTCTGTAACATTATTTTTGCAACTTTTTTTTGTTTACGCGAGATGCAAACTTGTGCATCGATTTGTTGTAAATTCTGCTTTTTTTTTTTTTTTTTTTTTCTGTTTTGCTTTTCCCCCAACCATTTAAGGTGCATAAAGAAAAAACTCCTATATTTTGGTTATTTAAAACTATATATACATTTTCGCCTTTAATTTTAAATACCTCCCGAAACGTATTACGACAGCGCTTTTTAGCTGAACAAGTGCAAAGTATAATAATGTACAGAAATTTTTTGCCTCCCCGCCGAAACGCCCATATTTTCTCCCCCTTTTAGTTGTAATGATAAAAAAATACCTTCAATGAAACATTTTTCTAAAAGGGGTATTTTTTAATGTAACGAGGTAAAACCTGCGAGAGAGTAGAGGAAATTTCCTTTGGCGAATAATCAAAAAGTATAAATGAACCAAACATTTAAGTAAACATCTGAATAAAAATCTTTTGCCAGAAAATCTCGATTTTTTATAACTCCAATTTTTAATCGAATTGTAGAGTTGTTTTTACCTGTTTGGGAGCAACAGAAGAAACATATGTCATGAGATTTTTCTTCCGTTTTACCGCGCCACGCTTACAGTTGTTTTGCTGCTCACTTGAGAAACTATAAATCGCACAGGGTTCTTCCGTAGATAGGGATGTTTTACCTTTTTTTTATATACCAACTAGTGAATAGCGAAGATTTTCTTATTAGCCAGAAAAGTTTACCCACATCGTGAACGTCACTCTCTGTGCATGTAAAAGCATACACGTCGCAGTTGTAGAACTGCAAGAAGTGGTCAAAAAGGGCAAATCGGCAGTAAAACTTCCAAGGTGCCAACCTTCCAAGTCGCCATATAGTGAAGATCCCAATGGAATAATGTCCTTTCTTCCGCGTTAGAGACAAAAGTGGAAAAACGTAAAAAGAAACACAGTGCAGTGAGACGAACATATTTGAGTAACCCCAAAACTGCAACATTTTTGCGAGTTCATATATTTTTCCCCCCTCGCCCAAAAGGGCTCTCCCATTATATACCAGCTCGACATCATTATTACTCTTCTTGTCGCACCATCTCCGTATAGACGAGGATATAACTGAAAGATTTAGAAACTCGGAAGAGAGCCGATAATTGCTAGCCAAAAATGGTTGTCATTTGGCACGAGTGAAGAAACGCACATATATGTATAACTGAGCCGACTTGTAGAAGAGCTCACCAGAGAACACTTATCTTTGCACCGAAATAAATTTTCAGCGCAAAGTGGGAAACTCCCATTCCTTGGCAGTTGTATAGGGGGAAATATAAACCCACGTTCACGTTAACCTGTACATATGCAGTTATGTAGATTTTTCAGCACATGTGTCCAAAAGGTGTGGGACTGCCTATACACATTAAGGTGGAATTTTCTTTTCAGAAGGTGCCGCACAGGGTGTGGGAGGTGCCGAATTGGATGTAGAAGTTGCAGAATAGGGTGCGGAAATTGTCGAATCGGGTGTAGGCGGTGTCGAGTGGGGTGTAGGAGATGCCCCGTTGGGTGTGGTGGGTGCCGAATAGGGTATAGGAGACCATGCAGATGCGCTGTGTAGCCCGGCTGGACGGAACCCATGTAGATGCGTCGTGTAGCTCAGTTGGACGGAGCCCATGTTGCATCTATGTGGTGATCTTCGACTGTGGGGGGAGGAAGAACTAGACACATGCAGAAAATGAACGCAAAACTTGCCACACTCGCCCTGCTTCTCTCGCTATTGCGTCGCCAACTATGGGAGATAACATGCGTGAAGAATAATGTAACCGTGCCGAAATTTCAAATCCCAACAAATGGAGGGCGGAAAGGGCCATATGCACCACCCCAAGAAGGATGTGCAAAAAGAAGATACCTCATTTGCAACGGGCTCATTTTAAAAAAAACAAACAAATTAGGAAGAAGATACTCATTTCACGATTTGATTTATTCAAATAGAAGAAAAAAAATAGTCAATTTGATTTACATAGATGTAATGAAGAAAGATAAAAAGAAACTCGCAGAGGCATTGGACAAAATTGTACAGAAGCAAGAAAGTCTAAGTTTCCCACTAGCATTTAAACAGATCATACATTATTTCCACACAAATTTTGTCTATTATTTTGTACTTCTCTATATTCTAGATAATAACCCGTGGATGTTGTGCCTACTTAAAAAAGTGAACAAACTATTTCATGATAAATTCAGAGCTAATTTGTTTGGAAAAACAACGTACGACATTTCTACGTTTCAAAGGAAGTACATCTGGAATGGAGCCTTAATTGATAGATACTTCAAAAGGCTCTTAAAGAAGCATCATAGAAAATTACGGGTTCTAGTAGATGTCTGCTTGAAAAAAGATGAATACTTTTTCCACACCGCTAACCAAAGCAGATGCACTTACAATCGCGAAGATAACAACTTTGATGATGGCCAATTTCTTTGTGCACTACGTAACATACATGCCATACATTTTTATGACATTTTTGAGAAACATTTTTTCAAAAAAACTATTAACACTATTATGAAAATGATTAACACTAATGTGCAGTTGAGTCTTTTGAAAAATTTTATTAGTGATAGATATAGGGCTCAACAGATTATGTACACGCACAAAAAGTTTTTCGCCTTAACTGTTCAGAAAAACAGTACGGCCTTGTTTAGCTCATTTGTCGAAATGGAAACGCTGAAGGAAAAAATGTCCTACCTTCTCGAAGAAACGGTAAAGAGACAACTAGATGTAGCCATACCCAATTTAAGAATAATGAATTTTCTAAACTTGTCTCTTATAATGACCAAGTTGTTGTTAAAGAAGCTCACCCAAATGGTGTTCTATTTCGTC